TCCAAGTCCTTCCAAAAGAGGTTATTTATATTTTACTAGAAAAAAAATTTAATGGTTTTTAATAATGCAAACATTTAAACAAAAAACATTTTAGTGCATTAAAATTTTTTCATTAGCATAATAATTTAATGAAAAAAAAAATTTCATTAGCATTACATTTTTCAGAATTAATGCATTGAAATATTCATTTGCATTAAATTTCATAAATTAATGCATTAATTTTTTACATTAACGATATTGCTTTAAATACCATTAATGCATTAAAAAATTAATGCATTTTTAACAACTCTGGTACACATACATATGTACATACGTATACGTATATAAATAGTATGTAGAAACAAACTATGTATTTACTTTTTACTTAAGGCCTCCCTATGAACAATACATTAATACTATTAACATCCCACTAGTGAGCAACCGACACATAACTGACCGTGGGAAAACTTGGGCTTTCCAGCAGAAATCCAGTCGCTTTTAATTTTTGACCTTGCGATTTATTTATCGACATATAAAAGCAAAGCCTCAGAAAATAGTGAAGCCTTTTACATTCAGATGGAAGTTATTTGTGAATAAATGAGACTTCTGACAGAAAAACATCTTGTCCTTTGCCACATCTAGCAATAATAATTATTTCAACTATATTGGCCATCATATTCTTAACTACCAATCTTGTTTCATTATTAAGGTAAGGTTCAAGGTTTGGGAAATTACTCAATAAAATGCGAAAACTGATTACATACAATAGTGTAGGAGATAATTCTATTCGACGAAAATTCTACTAAAAGATTCTACTCTACGAAAATTATACTTTATTGCCAGTCGAAAACAGGGTTTTGTAGCAGGAACTCTTTAATTAGTCTTTTAAATTGTAGTAAATTGTTAGCGCCTCGTATTTGTTCTGGCAGCTTGTTAAAAGTTTTAACGCCGTAGTTCCTAATTGATTTAGTTATTCTTTCAGTTCTAAAAAACTTGGTCCTCATGTCACGTTGGTTCCGAAAATTATAGACGAGTATTCCTGTGTAATTAAAATCAATACTATGTTTGATTAGGTTAGTTTTAATTTTATAAACAGTGATAAGTGTCTGCAAGATGCAAAAACGATTAACATCCAGTCTGGGCTCTATTCTGTAACTGTGTCACAACCAAAAACTCACCGACTAAAATTCAGTGAGTTTTTCGGAAGAGAAGTGTACACAATTTTGACAGTTAAAAATCATTCTCACAGATGCTGAATCGCAAAATGAGGAAGTGTACACAATTTTGACAGCTAAAACTCATTCTCACTCTTCCTGAATCGCAAAATGAAGAGTGCACACAGTTTTCAGTGTACACTTGAAAACTCACAGTTACGAAATAGAGCCCCTGGACGGGGTCTGCTTGGGAAGCAGTAGAATGTTTTTAATCATTTTATTCTGAAGCCTTTGCAATTCGTTCATTCTTAGGGCGGAACATCGATTCCAAATTGGATTTACATAATTTATTTGCGACATAAACAAAGCTTCGTACAGTAGCCACAGATGCTTTCTGGGAATACTGTTTTTATTTCTGTGAGTAGCAAAACTGAGCGGAATTAGCTTTAGTTTTAAGTTTTTGAGATGCTCATTCCAACTTATGTTGGAGTCTATCCAAACTTCTAGATATGTTAAAGTATCAACTCTTTATTAAGACATTGTTGAGAACAATCCCTGGGAGGTCATCCTTGTCTGGTATTGGCTTGTTGTTATTAAATATCACGAAATTTGTTTTAGTTAGGTTGATTTTTAAGCAATTCTTGTCAAGCCAGTCGTAGGTTTTACACAAGTCGGACCTTATGTTTGATGTAAGCTCTTCTATTGTATCAGTTGCATACATAATAAGTCCATCATCGGCATAAAATTACGGGGTTCCTTTTAGGTCTAATTTTAATAAATTATTTATATAAATTAAAAAAAGGGTTGCTGCTGCTTTGAGCCCTGCGGGACTCCTATTTTAATTTTCGGCGTGGAGCTTTTTGTCCTATTTACTTGAACATATTGCACCCTATTTAATAAGAAGCTTTCAAATAGTTTTAAATTATTACCGCATATTCCTAGTTCAGCCAGTTTTCTAATCATAATTTTTAAGTTAAGAACCATTTTTAACAAGATCGAGGCTGGCAAGGCCGTCTTATTTTCCGTTGAGCTGTTGCTTAACTTTATATTTGATTTGTGTGCGGAAATCCTTGCCTTGAGTTTTGTTTTTGTTGTCCCCACATATACTTTGTCGCATAAGTGGGACCCGCCGCCATTACATGAAATTTTGTATATTACGTCAGATTTCTTGTATCTACACATATCTACAATTAAAATATCAATAGAACGAAAATTTGCGTTTTATTTAATTGCTGGGCCTCGAGCTTGTTAAAAATGGTTCATAATTTAAAATTCAAAGGCCAAAAACAAAATACATTATTTTTAAGTTCACTGAATCGAATGCCTTTGACAAATCTATCGCCAGTATCGCCACATATTTCTTTTTATCTAAATTTTCATAGACAAATTCAATACAGGACAGACACGCTGCCAGATTTGATTTGATCATGGTGTAGTAATAACAAGGTGTTGTCAGTAACTTAACCTCACTTTCTCGGCAGTTCTATTCCAGTCACGCATTTTAAAGTAGTAGAAAAGGTACTACTTTTAATCCGTTTGTGCATATTATATCAAAATAAATGTAGTTAAATTAATATTTACAGGCTTATAAGCTTATATATATAAGCTTATTTATATATGCTTATATATATGTTTGTATGGGCAGCTCCACACGGCTTAGAACTTATAAAAAAATAAACGTCGTAAAATAAGGCGATTTCCTATAAGACTGTAAAAGGTTTTTTAAATAGATTAAAACACATAAACATCGCAAATATAAGTGAATTTCTACTTTTAACATGCATCCACTCTATTCTAGTGAATCAGTAGTCCATTTGGCTCAATATTATGACAATGCAGCAAAATTTATTTGATATTAAAAAAATCGTCTTTCCATACGATTTTTGTGTACTTCTTTCTCCATTGATAACCAATACCTTTTATTTTTTACATTTTGAGGACAAAAATTATACAAGTTCAGCAATTTTAAATATTAATGTCGTTCTGAAAATACCAAGTTCTTAAAAAATCGCGATAAAATAAGTTACTAAAATGGAGTATTTTAGATACTATTTCCCAAAGAATAGTAGTATAAAAATTATGATCGACAGCATTGAAAATAAGCATGCCGATCTTGTCAAAATTACAACAAACACTGACATAACCTTGTTATTATTTCACCATGTGATTTGATTATCTTTTAAAAAAACTTTCAGGTGGTTGAGAATGATACTTTCAAAAATTTTGTCCATTGTACTCAGTTTAGTTATTGGGCGATAGTTAGAGCAGATTTCCTTACTTCCCTCTTTATGGATCGGTATCAAGCAACCTATTTTCAATTCTTGTGGATACTGGAAACGCCCAGATATTTGGTCTGGCCCATTCGCTGATTTAGATTTTAACTTATTTATTGACATTTCAACTTCGAGTGTATCACATTCATCCAACGAAAACGGTATCGTGATTCCGTGTAAAGGTTCATCATTATAATCAACAGCGTTTAGTTCATTCAACAGCAAAAACCACAAGAATATTTTTTTTTTTATAATTTCATACAGAACTCGGGAAAATGCAAGAAATGCCAAGGAATTTTGATCAAAATTTTCCATTTTGTAAATCGATTTCTTAGGAAAATTTTAAGTATGCCGTTTTGTGGCCCATTAAATTTTAGTTTAATAAAGTGCCGTTACCATTGATTTATGAGAATTTTTTTGTCGAGGGTGTTGCGCACTTTCTTCAAGGACATAACGGTAATTTTTAGCGACTTGTAACTTCCACTTTATTTTACTAAAATTCAATAGGATCCAAACTGAATATGTCAAA